CATACCACATGTTTGGTTCCCTACCATGTCTCTGCTCCTCCTTACCCTTCACAGTGTGGCTTTTTCTTTATAGTGTGGAAGAGCTGTTCTAATCAGGTCATTCTCTGAACGCATTGGATTACGTATAGTTGTTGCATGGGTGTGTCTGTGGGAGGAGTTGGGATCCTCCTACTCCATCCACCGTGTTCCCTGGTCATGTCAACACGAAGGAAACTTTGCCTTCTGTATTTCTTACAGGATATCTAGAGTCTTGACCAGATTCAGGTTGAATTTTTTTTTTTCTTCTTTTTTTGGCAAGACTTTCATAGTTGGTGGTATGATCTTCTATTGTTTAGAGAGGCACACAGTGTCTGGCTGTATTTTAGTGATAGGAGGCAGCCATGGCTGCCCAGTGCTTAAGACCTCTTTGTTCACCAGGAGTTGCAGAATGTTGATAGAACTCTGTCAGCCCTTTATTCACTAGAATACTTGTATAAAAATTCCTGTGTCTACTATTAGGTACCCAGTGTAGTTGGGAGAGGGGAAGATTATGTATCTTCCTGTCGAATGTGTGGATTCCCTCACTTCCTCCAATGGTAGTGGTATTTTAACACAGACATTCAATTTTTAATCACTAAGGAACTCTTTTATGTTTTTTTCTTGTAATATTCTGTTCATATTTTATATCAGGTTTCTTTTAAATTTTTCCTTGTTTCCTCTGGTGTTAATTTTTCTATTTATCTTGGTCTTTTTCTTCTTATTGGTTCACCTCATTTATCCCGTGGTCCTCAATTATCAGTTTATACTTAAGGAGGCTTGAGTCGCCAGTGTTGTGTTCCCTCTGCTTTTGTGAAGATAGAGGACTTGTTTTACTGCCAGTTCTCTGAGTGGGGAGTCTAACTGGAAGCTCCTTGTGGGACAGGCCAGGACTGGGCATACTGATCTGCAATTTCATTTAAGAGTGAGAAGGGAGGGGGCTGTGAGGCTTTTGCTCCTCTAAATGCTTTCCTCTGGGATCAACGTCTGAATTGCCAAGTCTTGGCTTGCACAATTTGTCCAGTTTTCTTGAGAAAAGATATTTCCCTCTGAGTAGAAATGCTTGCTGCACCTGTACTCTGTGCCTGGCCGTGACTCTAGGGAGTGATAGCTTTCCCTACAGAGGCCTTGAATGCCCCGAACTTGGTCCTGTTTATCACTAATTCTAAACCCAAAGTCCTCTCTGTGATTCTGCATGCTAAATTTGTTCTCACCTCCTTTGGGGCCCTTTAGTCTAAGTGGTCTCTTCCAGAAACTCCAGCCTTGTTTCTTTGCTCTTAGAGGTTTTCCATTTTGAATACGTAGGATTTTACTTTAGAATGATTCTAGGAGGAGTGAAAGGGAAATGTGTGTCTAGTTTGCCATAAATATCAGCCTTTTTATTACTGTTCTCTAGAAAAAAAACAAAACTCTTTATTTTTCGGCCAACTTAACAGTTGATCAATATGAATATTTTCAAAAACTATATTGATATGCTTGATATGGGTATTTAAAACTTCCAGCTATCAGTTGCATATTTTTAATCTCTTGAAAAGAAACATTTGACTTAGATGCTTCCTACATATACTCCATGCTTGTAAAAACTGATCTAAATACAGAAATATATACTACGAAGAAATACTTTTAAATCAAAGCCAATTATATCTTTAATGAGGTTTTCCACTTAAGGGAGAGCAGCTATGATTCTGTAGTCAAATTTGAAACTTTCCCATTTTCTTGGAGGAAAATGTTATAATTTAACCCTTAGAAACCAGACTTTATGTCATAGGTAGTATAGATTAAATTGCCGTAACTCAGAGACTCAGATTAAAGACTGCAATAAATTGAATCTAAGAATAAGAATAGAAATACTGACTGATTAAACAACTAACCTTAATTCTGAGTTAATACAGTAAAAAAAATCTCATGTCATTAAAGCCAAACCTTTATAAATTCAAGGTCATGTAGAAATCTCTTAAGACAAATGTACATTTCAAGTTGGTGAAATAAAGACCTTCTACCCTCTCCCTTTAAAAAAAAAAAAATTTATAGAGAGAGTAAGAGTGCAAGCAGGGCAGAAGGAGAGAGAGGATCTCCAGCAGACTCCATGGTGAGCATGGAGCCTGACGTGGGGCCCAATCCCATGACCCTAAGATCATGACCTGAGCCAAAACCAAGAGTCAGATGTTCAACCAACTGAGCCACCCAGGCACCCCTACTGTCTTCTCTTAAAAATAATTTCAAAATAATAAAAAACCCACATTTATTTATAAAACTAGATGTTTTCAACTCCTAGTCACAAAATATAAAGCAGAAAGTAGATGGTAAAATGATAAATGATCTGTTTATGTGCTAAGTGATTTAAGTGCCATGTGGCTGCAGAGCGAGATGCTGAAGACAAGCAAACCAATTCACCCAAGGAATTTCTAAGAACTGGAAGATCTAGGTACTTAGGCTGGGATAATGGCATAAGGCAAGGGACTGAGTGGGAACTGTTTTAAAAGGTGGGGAACAGAAAAGACAGAAGTCTCAGATTACTTTCCAGTGAACCTGGTGCAGTGGCCTCAGAGAGAGAAGGGGGCAGAGGTTGTGTGCACAGTCTCTGGAGAAGCTAAATCAGAGAACAAGCAGCAGCACAGAGGAGCGCGGGGGGAAGCATGGGGCTGAAAACAGAGACCAGTCTGAATGCTGACTTTTCGGTGAGGTCCTCTCTCCAACCTCATTCTGCTCCAGAACACAGGTACACTGATGAATCCCCACCGTTTTTCCAGCAGAGATTGGAGGATCCCTCTCTGAAGAAAATGAAGTAACCCAGAAAGATCCTGGCAAACTGACATTTAGGAATCCCTGGTGAGGTCAGCTGGCCTGCCAGTTGATGGGCTGTCTCCCCAGAGATTCCAAAGAGCTTTTTTTCTTAATTTTTTATAAAACTGCGTTAAGAATTGCCTGACATTTGAAGAAAAGTCATGATGGAGACTAAAAGGAACTCAAGAGGAAATAAAAGCATCCTATGGCAAACAAAAGAATAACTATAATTCCTATCTTTAGAGAGATAAGAAGATGCATCTGTATCTGTCAAACTAGATAATGGTAGGGAAGAGCTTTCAGAGATTAAAACCAGAAAACTGAAATTTTATTAAAAAGTTGAAAAATATTTTTGAAAGTAGGGGGAAAAACAGAGATAGAAATTATAAGGGGAAAAAAGTTGAGATCACAGTATGAGCTTGGGAGGTCCAAAGAAAGAACAGAAAAAATTTCCCAGGACTGACAGAGATGAGCTTCTAGCTGGAATGGGCCAGTAGAAAATGCAGAAACTCTGAATGACAAACCCATCAAAACACCTTTGTGAAGTCTGAGAATACCAAAGGTAAAGAAATAAAATATTCCACTAGGAGAAAATAGTAGGTCACAGGGTAAGGACTGGTAATCAGAATAGCCACTGATTTACTGACATTAAACCTAGAAATGGAGCCCTGTAAATTCCTATGAAAATTATTTCTAGTCCAGAATTTTATGCCCAGGAAAAATACGACGTGGGTTTTTGTTTTTCGTTCATTAGCTATCCAGGCAAACTTTCAAGAGCAAAGTAAATCCATTCAACAAAACTGAATACATGGGATATAAGAGTTCCATCACAGAGCAGACAGTGGTCCAAAATGAAGCTGGCAAGGTCAGGAACTAGACAGCCAGATTATCTAGACAGTTTTCCTCATGCAGAAAAACAGAGAAAGGCATTTTACAGAGCGGTTGCAAAGTGTGAGAAGGCTTCAACTTTTGAAGAAAACCAAGTAAATGAAAACAAGGAAAGTTGCTCTAGGAAAATAAAAAAAGTGGTATATCCTGTAGTTCAGCAGTCAATATTTACACAGACCTAATAATGAAAACACTAAAGATGCATACAACCTAAAATTCTGAAGTACACCGATAAGCCTGTGGAGGAAAGAATGCAGGTGGCAGGAAAGTGCTGGATATAGAACGAAGACGCTCGTACTCCTTCATGGAAACAGAGGAGATGAATTAAGAGATAACCGCACATATATAAATATTACTTAGACACAGGACGATAAAGAGCAAAGTGCGCATCTCTGGAAAAGCTGACTTACAGGTAGAGTATGGTGGGGAGACTGTGTGTGTTAAGCTTTTTAGAACTACTTTATAATCTGTTATTCATGTATTCCTTTCCATAGTGGTTTATTAATTAAATCATTAAAATATAGAAGTAGCATCTAGGACATATAAATAAATCTGAACTCTATAGCAAATAATTTCTTGGTTCTATTTCCCTGAAGAGATATTTTAGTAAAAAATAACGTAGTCAGCTAAGTGGTAGTTTTAAAAGGAATGAGACACTGGAGAAGGCGAGCCCAGGGGCGCGGCAGTGCTCGCTGACTATGCTGGGCTTACGCAGACTGGTGTGGTGGGATAGCGGGAAGGCCAGCGAGTGTGGGGCCAGAGGACACTGGTTCTCATGCTGTGGGTTACTTTATGCCTGTTTCTTAACTTCTGTGAGCCTCAGTTTCTTGGCCTATAGAGATACACAAAATGATTATGTCATAGTAGGACTTTCCCCCGGGGCAGACATCACTTGTGTATATGCATACACAATGCTGAGAACACGTATGTTTTAAAGGGATAAAATGACTGGAGAAAAAATTGCGTTGCTAGAGAAAGCTGTCAATCTCCACACAAAACTGTTTCTATAACTGCGATACAGGGTTAGTAGTTTATAACCTGCAAGTTTTTTTTAAGTAGACTCTGTGACCAAAGTGGGGCTTGAACTCACCACCCCAAGATCAAGAGCCGCATGCTCTACCATCTGAGCCAGCCAGGTGCCCTGTAACTTTCAAGTTTACTTGGAGGAGTAATGTAGTTTAATTTCTTACATACTTATGGAAATTCACAGGCCAAGATCAATGTGATAAATAAATACATTTAAATCCTTATCTGCAATTCACTGTAAAACAAGGAATCTACTTAATATAAAACAAGGAAATTTAAGGACCTACCAGCCATTAAATCCTATGTAGAGATCCAAGTCAGTCAAGGCGGCTGCTGCTTCCTTCGTACCATCAAATGAATGCACCTAAGGAGGTACAGGTACAATTTCATTGAATGATTACTCTTTCTTTAAAATCCTAAATAACACTAATAAGACTTTCTTAGCAAAAATATAAATGCATTAGGGTTTTTTGGGCCAGAGGGTTTCAAATGCAGTGTCCCCTACAATTTTTATTTTCAAATCCAATCTCACAATTAAAATGGGTCAACATCTCCACTGGTGTGAGGCAAGAGGGGAGACGGCTGCCTGGAATTTCTATCCGGGGCTGGCTGATGGCTCTGTTCCAGCATTCCTGCGGTGCCCCCAGGAAGGGGACCGGCGGTGGGAGCCACATTCTCAGGCAAAAGCATGAAGTTAAAAATGTGACAAAACCATGTAAAGTGTATCTTCAAATGTTCAATTTTTATGTTACGGGATACTTTTTTCTAGAAGAGAGGACTTAAGAGACAAATTTTAAGATCTATTCAGAGTTGTGAGAATGTCACTAAAAAAAACAGTAATAATCACCTCAGGAGGCAAAAAGGAGTAAGACGGTGGTGTTCTCCTTCAGAGAGACAGGGTTTCAAGCATAGTTTTTCACACTTCGGATGTATTTTTGTAACCAAAACAGTAAGTAACAACACTTCTTTAAATACACCTAACAAGTGGGGGCACCTGGGTGGCTCAGTTGGTTAAGCATCCAACTCTTGGTTTCAGTTCAGGTCATGATCTCATGGGTCATGGGGTCGAGCCCCATGTGGGGCTCAGTGTGGAGTCTGCTTGGGATTCTCTCTCTCCTCTCCCTCTGCCCTTCCCCCGCTCATGTGTGCATGTTCTTTTAAATAAATCTTTTTATAAATAAATAAGCACACACACCTAACAAGTGATGTCATTAATACGTTCATACAGCATCCAGGGTCCAGGGTCCGAATCCACTATGAATAACATGCTTCTCAAAAATAAAACTGTGTTGGGCGCCTGGGTGGCTCAGTTGGTTGAGCGACTGCCTTCGGCTCAGGTCATGATCCTGGAGTCCCGGGATCGAGTCCCACATCGGGCTTCCTGCTTAGCGGGGAGTCTGCTTCTCCCTCTGACCCTCTTCCCTCTCGTGCTTTCTATCTCTCACTCTCTCTCTCTCTCAAATAAATAAATAAAATCTTTAAAAAAAAAAAATAAGTAAAACTGTGTTACACAACTGCCCAGAAGGGTTTAGTCTTCCCTTCAGCATTTCCAGCTGACTAGAAAATATATCCTCCATTAATATCAAAATAATTTTAAATAAGACTCTTCATAAACCATTTCAGAAAATTAGTTATACTTTATTTGGCAGTTTTTTTATTTTTAAGTAATCTCTACACTCAATGTGAGGGTTGAACTTACAACCCCAAGATCAAGAGTCACACATTCTACCAACTGAGCCAGCCAGGTGCCCCTTGGTAATATCTTTTTTTGATAAAAGTCAAACATTTAGGTTGGATATGTTGCTGTAAAGCAAATGGGCTAAGAGGTGGAACCATTAATCCCAAGGACGTTAATCAGAGCGTCTAAGCCTCTCTCAGTTCCCAGGTACAGTTCCTAAAGGATAAATTGCAGGGTCAGTAAACTGTAGATAAAAATGTGCACAGCACTGCAGAAAACATTATCACCAGCGTCTGGGGGACATGAAGCAGAGGCTACAAACGAGAGAATACAGGCAACACTCAAAGCAACACAGTGTGGGTATGCAGTGAGTGCTCAGTGCCACTTCCTCTTTCTTTAGTTGGACTTAGTACGACTGATTTTATATATCTGGATCATAGCTTTTCTGCTAGAGACTTAGTGAATCGCTCCTAAAATTACAGGTGAAAATTTGTGCATCTGAGAATTTTTCTGAGGCAGATTTTCAAAAGAACCCATAATCCAAAAGATTTTAAAAAACACTGCTTTGGATGCCTGAGCTAAGGCAGATAAGATTTATGGGAACTGACTGAAATGACCACACAGAAGTGTTTAGAGTAGAAGCAAATTACAGAAAGAAGGGGTCTCTAATCAGAGTGGTTAACAGTAAATGAATACAGCTGACAAGAAATTAAGACGGCAAACCTGAAGTGAGGATTAAAATACTTGATTAAAATTAGTTTATACTCTGTTCAGAATTTCAATTGGAAAACGCTGAGGAACGTCTGCTGGAAGAGGCAGAGAAAAAGTATCACCCACACTCCTAAAATGTGAGTAAATTCATGGGGTTTTCTTGTGAACCGAATTCTTTATCATTCTTGTACTTTGAACAAAATACATGTAATTAAATCAGTGTGATTTATGTATCACATCTGGTCCATAGATTCTATCGTAAATGTATGTCCTTCAGTAAGAGGGGGAAGAACATCTACTGCTGATACCTGAATTACTTCACCAACCTGAGGAACAAGAAAGCTTCTGGGCATCATCTAGTAAAAACAACTCTTCTACTTACCACTCCCCCCACACACCGGTCTCTGTTTCTTTTCATTATGTCTGTGAATTAAAAACAAACAACTGTTGGCAAATACCTTGCTTGATTTCTGCAAAATTCTTAAATTCTAAATTAGATTTTAGCTTTAACTCACCCAAAAACTCAGCATGTGAGTTCCTACAGTGAAGAAACATTGGTAATTTTGTTTGTTCTGCCAGTTCAAACTGTTTTTCAAAATATCTGTATGACACCAAAAAAAAATTTCCTTGTTTAATTTAGCATGAGAAAAATAATTATGTTATTTTTTTTAAGTTAAAGGACTTTTATTATTTTGAGATCATAGGACAGAAGTATGAACTCAGACATTTAAAACACATCTGGCTTAGCCAAAGGCTTTATAACAAACTTCCAGAAAAGGATACTTCATTTTCAGGGATTACAAAATTATTTTCAAAAATGTTGGTTAGCTTTCCATTATAAATGCTAGGTAAATTAGGTAGCACTTTACTACTCATCACTAGAAATACCTATAATGTTTAAGTTTATAGTGATGGGAGCTGTTCCCTCAAATAATTACTTTTTTTAAAAAAAGATTTTGAGAGAGAGAGAGACAGCTAGAGAGAACACAAGGGGGGGCGGGGTAGGTAGCAGGAGAGGGAGAAACAGGAGCAGGGAGCCTGACGTAGGGCTCAATCCTAGAACCCCAGGATCATGACCTGAGCTGAAGGCAGACACATAACCGAATGAGCCACCCAGGCGCCCCTCAAATAATTACTTTTAACTAGCTTTTCCCACCAAACCCCAGCAAATGAAGCAGACACCCTCCCATCACCCGTGGGATCCCTTCCCTGCAGCATGTGTTGGAGGTGAATACATCACCAGCGTCTTGCCCTGAGAGCTGGCTGAGCACCATCAGTGGAAGTCAGTTCGCTCCAGCAAGGGGCCAGCGAAAGCTTTATACTGTTTTCCATGTGCTGTTATACAAGAAATTACTACCACTAAACACAAGGATTTATTAAATATAAGTAGCACAAAAACTGAAACACTATTTTTCAAAGATATAAAAATGATATGATAAAATGGCAGCCGTGGGGCACCTGGGTGGTTGTCGGTTAAGCGTCTGTCTTCGGCTCAGGTCGTGATCCCAGGGTCCTGGGATCAAGCCTGGGATTGAGCCTTGCATCGGGCTCCTCGCCCAGTGGAAAGCCTGCTTCTCCCTCTCCCTCTGCCTGCCACTCCCCATGCAGTGCTCTCTCTCTCTCTCTGTCAAACAAATAAAATCTTAAAAAAAATAAAATGGCAGCTGTGAATGTTTGGAGAGTACTTTATAAAAAGGTTTTTTCAAGTGCCACATGCCATTATGTCATCTGATCCACAAAATAACCCTAGAATAGGTTAAGGGTTGGTGTCAGGGGATGTAGGACCTCATCCAAGATCACAACACAACATGACAAACTTGGACCCAGAACTTGAGTGCTCTAATTCCAGGTCCCAGCCAAATTGACAAAGTTGTGACGTTTCTAAGAAGCCCTTTCTGGTCGCACAGCATAATGACAATAGCCAGATGATATAACGGGGTGGGTGTTCGGGTCTTCTCACTCAGCGTGGGCTTACTCATTCTCCACTCATGGTCATGCAGTTCAAATGAAACCAAGAGTTACAGACAGTAAGGGTCTTATTTTCCTACAGGAGTTTACCTCTTCTAGGCACCTTTATTTTCGGGAACAATTTCTCGGTGTTTAATTTAAATCTCTTGCTATATATTCCTCTATCTTGTCTCCCTGAAATACAGGACAACCATTTTCCTGGAGTACCCCTTTGTCCTCTTGAAAATGCTAAATTTTAAAATTAGAAATATAAGTGTACTTCTTAAATAGCTTTCATAATGTTGGTGGTCTTTGTCTTTATTACCCAGTGTTTATGCTTTTAAATCACCTTTTCAGATTCTGCTGGGCTAGAATAAGCAAAAATAATTTTAGTTAACAAAGTGCTGAAATTTCAGACTGCAGGAAATAGAAATGAAATATCGAAAGAAAAGTCACTATTTCCATAACCTCTAAAGTAATTCAAATGTCAGCAATGAAATGTGCTTCAGTCATTACGTCAACTTCATCGTGGATCTGGCTTCTGGCTACGCACCGCACTCTCTGCTTTACGGCTCCCCACTCTACACGGATCATTTCTTTCACACACAATTCTATGTGCAAAGCCACACAACCGAGCCACAGATTTACAGAATCTAATGATCCCCTTGAGAATAAGCCTATCACAGCAGGCAAAAGTAAAAATAATGAAAATAACAGATGTTCAAGCAACATGCCTCCAGAATTCTGCATATGAGAAAAGAAAGGTCCATGCACTCAAGCTAGCTAGGTATCTTAAGGAGGCCAAGTACTCCTAATGACATAAATTGAGGATAACTAGTGCTTGACATTAAGTACCTGTTGCCTTTAAAGAAAAAACCCACCATGGTAACTAGAAATCGCATAAGTTACAGGGCAGCAGAAACTGGCACCTATCAAGAGATTTCTTTTTTTTTCTTAATTCACATACAAAAAGCTCTGTTTGAGTCAGATTTGCTCATTTTAGTGAAGCTGTAATTTGCTTCTGATTGTATTACTGCTTCTTCCATTTTAGGGTCAACAATAACTGAGGACAAGGGCTTGAAACGGTCAGCTTCCGAGTAGTTGTTAGTAATTCAGACTGAGGCAACTCCCAAAAGCCCAGAGCCTTACAGCACTGCACCTTAATCCACAGAGTGGGGCCGCCTCTGGACTGGCCCATGGCAAGGACAGCCTCACTCTCTCATCTCTGAGGTTCCCTAAATCCCCAGACGGTTATTTTGAAATCTTGTCTGATGTCGGATTTCTTTTTCCAAAACAGACCTGCCCAGTATTAACATTTTAAAGCCCCAAGGAAAATCCCACAGCAAATTCCTCCAACTCAAGCGAACTAAGCTCTGAACTTGAAACAAGGAAAGGGAATGTAGCATGGGGCAGAAACTGAAAAATACAGCGTATGCTTCAAGGAAAACCTTTCCTTGGCAACTCCGGCTTCTTCCTTGTTTTCATGCTCTTTAAAAACTCTTTTCAAAAACCCCAAGGAAAAAGAAGAGTCTGTATTTTCTTTAGGAAGAAAGTATTTCTAAGACTACCCCCACAGCCACAATTTCTGGAGCATATACTTTGTGGCAAGCATGTTAAGATGGGCTTTACATACCAAGTGTTAAGAAAGGTAGGCAGTATTAGCCCCATTTTAATGATGAGGAAATGGAGATTTACAAAGAGACATAGAGCCACCAAATAGCAGTTATGATTTAAACCCAAAGCTGTTGATTCTAAAGATAACTACTTTGCACAGTTATATACTGCCTTTACTTACCAGTAGGTCTCAGACAGTATTTTTTAGCCACTGTGTCTACTGCACATTAGTTCTGTCTTGCCTACTCACATCACACCATTTTCTATTTTTCTCTGATACATCTTTTTCCTGACTGCATTTTTACTTAAACAAAAGCAACAAACCATACACTGGTTAATTGTCTCAGATGGTATAAAAGAACAGCCCCCAAATTTAAATTCTTCCAAGAAAAGATCCAACAGTGAAAGCTGAAGTATAGGCTTTTTAATCCATGCTGCTCTCCAGGAATCAAAAAGACCCCTTTCCCCTTATTAAAAACTCAGTGAACATTTACGGAGTACCCGCCGTGTGCTGGGAGTACTGCACATGGTGCTATGGGCACCACAACATGAGTGAGGCTGGGTATGTGACTCCAGAGAACTCAGACACTAGTCTGCTGTGGGACGGGAAGGGGTGACATAAACATATTCCAGGACAATGTGCAAAATGCTGAAACAAGTACAGAGCACCTCGTGTGCAGGGAGGGAGCTGCACGCTGGGAGCATATGCTAGGGGAAAGGGAGGGAGCATCAGCACAAGTGGGGCGGGGGAGGTTGTTTCCTTAACATCAATCTAAATGGGATTCCTACTGGTGTTTTTTTTTTTTTTACTAAATCATTTGATGTTTTATAATTTTAAAAAATCTCAAATTGAACTGCCCGTCTTTTCAAAATTTATACCATACTTTAGTTTGTCCTTGGCTTTATTCTGGAAGAGACCTAGCTCACATCCCCTCACCTTATTAGCAAAGCCTTCCCTAACTCCCCCAGAAAGTCCTTCCCCCTGCTGTCATACACCTTTTTGTTAGCATTTTCCAAACCATTTTAATTATTTATGTCCTCTCTTGTCTATAAAGGCATCAGAACCAAGCCTATTCTTTGTATTACACTGAGGAGGCACTTCGTAATCATTCACTGAATGGAGTTTAAACTCTCTAGTACGGATTAATGCCTGGGCAATTGGTATCTGTGTTCAAGCATAAACTATACCCTGCTATACATACTGTTTTAAGTTCTGATCTTAAGGTGATGCTGGAAATATTCTCAGAGCAGTAAAACAGAACTATCGATGTTTTCATTAAATACAAAAGAAATCGAGTTTAGGGTATTTAGGTTGCATTTTAGAATCAGTTTGAATGCATCTGGATCAAAGTCTTATGAGCAGGGAATCCTGAGGGACTCTGCCACTGCCCTTCATTGTCACACCCCACACCGTCTGTTTGCTTCACGACACTCATCTTGGCCAAAAACAGACTCTAAAGTGGAGGAATTATGATCTGTGGGCTTTACCTAAGAAACACAAACTATTCTTCTATTTAAATGTGAATATGTGAACTTTTAAGATGAGCAACCTATAAATGATATTCAAGAGAGGTTAAGGATTTAGTAATCCTGCTGGTAATCATGTGAATGTCCCTGAAAACCACAGCATCATACATCACTAAACAGCTCTGAGAGGATTTATTCTACTGTTTTATTACCTGGATTATTAATACATTGTTTTTGAAATGCAACAAAATGCTCATGTCTTAAATTAAGTCTATGACCTAATTTTTCTTTTTGGCCTATCACGCTACCCACCGATATGCTGACGGGAGCTCCAACTAAAAGGTATAGGCAGTGGGTTGTAGGAAGTCTACAAGGGTTGGGAACTTTGGAATTTTCTGAGACGCCACCACTCTCCATATGGGTCCTGTGAAAAGACCCTCACATTCTAAGTTGACTATATCCAGTGCCCAGCAAGAGGAGGTTTTTCCTACTTTGGTGATTGATCCTATATCTCTTTTTAATACCCTTGGCTCTTAAATCATGCCCCAACTGAATTTAAATCATTTCATTGGAATGGTTCATGCATGAATACATTCATGAGGCAAAGAACAACGAAATTCTCCATCACGTAAAACTCATCCCTTATTTCTACCATTAAAATTAAGTTAGATGGTTAATCAATTAGAAACTATATGCTTCCATCCCTTCCATTTCACTTAACTTTTGATATACAAAGGGAAAAACAAAAAATCTTGATGCTTAATCCAACTACATTCTGAACAGATAAAAGCTATTTTAAAAAAATCACTCATAAGATTGTATGATAATTACAAAAATCAAAAAATTTCCTTACTTGAGCTGAGTATCTTTGGGACAGAACTGTAGTCGGTCAAAATCTTTAAAAGATAAAAAAAGAACCAGTAACAACTCATTACCTTGTGCAGAACAAATCACTTTCAAAGTCACTCTAACAGGGCTAGGTTGGCACTTACCCAGTCCACACTCCCCTATTGCTACAACTTTCCCCTTATTGTTTTCAGCAAGATTTAACAACTCCCTCAAGTAAAGATCAGGATCATTCTTTTCAAATTCATCACATCTTGTAGGATGACATCCAACTGTACTGAAAAACATATCTAGCACAAAATAATGTCTTAGGATTATTTTCAAAATATTTTTCATATTACATTTAATATGCAAAAATGATAAGAATAAGTTCAACTGGTTAATTTTTAACAATAGCCATAAACTATTTGAACCACAAGAATTGATTAAGGTCAATCATATGATAGTTTTTGGAATACCTTAACAAAGCAGGACATGAATATGAAAACTGCCATAACATTAGTAAAAAGAATTAATTCAACTTTCCAAAGCTTGGTATTCAGAGTCTTGTAGAATAGAAAATGAAACAATTTCTTGGAGAATGAAATATCATAACCTAATTATATCTGTTATATTCACTATTCACATCACTGTCTTGTTTCACATATTTAATATAAGAATGTATTTCTTCCGCTTAAAAAGGGTGACTTAAAGAGATGGAAGGGGGATTTTTTTTTTTTTAAGATTTTATTTACTTATTTGAGAGAAAGAAAGAGAGCACAAGGTGGGGGAGGGGCAGAGGGAGAGGGAGAAGCAGGCTCTCCACTGAGCAGGGAGCACTCTGGGCTCAATCCCAGGACGCCTGGGATCATGCCCTGAGCCCAAGACAGAAGCTTAACTGACTGACCCAGACGCCCTGGGATTGGTTTTTCTAATAAAAAATAAAGCTCACTTATTTGGAGACCACACCTTGATAGCTGTAATTGTATGGAACACGAATAAGAAGTCAAAAAGGGCTTCTGAGTGGCCTGCACCTGAACCCACGGGAGAGGTGGGGAGCCTTCCTCAGCCTCTCCTGCAGGTGTTTACATATAAAGGAGGCAGAGGTTTTAAAGCAGTGAGGACACAGGTACGGGAGGAGGAGTGAAGACGGCTGACAAGGGGAGCTTCAAGAACTTTTAAAAGCATATCTCTTTGGGAATTAAAAGTATAGAAGACTATATTCTTATACCCCCAAAGGCATCTGGGAAGGTGACTACTTTTAATCACTAAGAAAAAATGTCAGTGGATCCTGAAAAGAAGTATGCATTTTAAAAAGATTTCCATAAAAAATAACTTAAGTAAATCAGTATTTTGAAAAATAACATGGAATGCCTAATCTTCAATGTCTAGCAAAAGCAGCATGCATGCCAAAACACAAAACCAAAATAAGTTAGGTAAAATGAATGCCAGATAAAGGAGGTTTTCTGTAAGTGGGATTTCCTTAGGAACCAATTCCAAAACTTCATAGATTTTAAATAAAATGCAAAATGTATGAACATAAAGTGAGCCGAGAGATTATTTATTTATTACTTGCATTCCTGGGGCCTTACAACAACGGTCTACATGATAAATATTTAATAAATGACCCTTAACAGTTTAAAAAATGCAAATAAAAAGCAACTCACATCTTAAGCACATTACAACATACAAAAATCTTGCATCAGAAATATGTGAGGCTAAACTGTATACCCAGTGAGTTAATTCTCATTAACTGGAATCTTAAAATAATGGTTAAGTACAGTGAGAGAGAGGGTTTAATCACATCTGTTACGCTAGTGGGCACTTAGAATTCTTGCATTTTAATCATGTCCCATTGCAATCAGTCTTTTTCTGTTACTTCTACAGTCACAATCCATTGTATTGTATCTGAGGCAGTTTTTAGAAAGATTTCTTCAAAATAACTCATATTTGGGGGGGATAAAAGTAATATGAGGATACCATTTGTTTGTGCCAAATGCAGTGCCTCTTTACTGTCCTGCAGATTTCCACCTGTAATCATAAACTGAAATAGAAAGAAATAAAATAAGCCTACTTGAACAGAGCATCAACAACAGTTTCCCAAACATGCCTTCCTGTTGTTTTCCAGAATGCTTTTCTCTCTTTGACTGTCACACACTTACCCTTCCTTTATTTTATTTTTTTTAAGATCTTATTTGTTTATTTGACACAGAGAGAGCGAGAGCAGGAACACAAGCAGGGAGAGTGGGAAAGGGAGAAGCAGGCCTACCGCCGAGCAGGGAGCCCGATGCGGGGCTTGATCCCAGGACCCCGGGATCATGACCTGAGCCGAAGGCAGATGCCCAATGACTGAGCCACCCAGGCGCCCCACACTTACCCTTCCTTTAAAATTTGGCTGGAAGGTCATCGCCTATTTAGAGTGGTCCCTGACCACCCCTCTCCATACAAGCATACATACAACACAGAATCTGTCACGCCTTCCCATTAAAATGTATTCACATGTCTGTTTTTCCAGTTAGATCAAGAGCTCCTTAAGGACAGAGATCACATTATGAAAGACCGAATAACTAAAGAATTTAGAATTCTTTTAATCTGGGGCACCTGGGTGGCTCAGTCGGTGAAGAGGCTGCCTTCGGCTCAGGTCATGATCCCAGGTTCCTGGGATAATCGGGTTCCCTGCTCCACAGGAAACCTGCTTCTCCCTCTCCCACTCCCCCTGCTTGTGTTCCCTCTCTTGCTGTGTCTCTCTCTGTCAAATAAATTAAAAATCTTAAAAAAATAAAAATTCTTTTAATCTAAATTGGAGATTCAGTAGTGTTTATTAATTCAACAGTTCTCCAGTGTGGTCCCGGAACCCCCGGGAGAATGTGAGGTCAAAACTATTTTCATAATAATTCTAAGATGCTATTTGCCTTTTTCACTCTCACCCGGCCCCAAGTGTGCAATGAGATATTCCAGAGGCTACATGATGTGTAATATCACAACAGACTGACAGCAAAAATAGACATCCAAGTTTAGCAGTCTTCTATTAAGAGCCAGACATTCAAGAGATGTTTAAAAAAAAGAGAGATCCAACAATTCCACTTACATCACATTTTTTTGGTTTGGAAAATACTTATTTTTCATAAAAATATGCTACTTAATGTTATATAATGGTTTACTGTTAATAGATATTTTACATTCTTAGTTCTAATTTCCAATATCAGCAAATAAAACCCACATAAAGAAAAACTCTTTGGGGTCTTCAGGAATATTGAAGAACATGAATGGGTTTTGAGACCAAAAGTTTGACCATCACCGGATTAAGGCATATTGAATTCTTCGTAAGGAAACGCATGGCTCCTGGCAAAAAGCACATTTCTAAAGAGGCACCCTCAGGGTCCACCGGCAGAACGACTGTATCAAAAGGAAAATGTCACAAAGAGTGGTGTGTGGGTGCTGGCTACTGAGGCAGTGCTGCCGAAGTGTGGATCCTTCTAAAGAAGGGACTTACTAAGCACACTGATGTAGATTTTTTTAAGCATCTCACTTCAAGCGCCTCACTGAGCTAAAATGAAGAATTCCTTCTAGGTACGCGCCTAAAGAGAAAACATACAAAACACCGGAGGAAGTGCAAATGAACAGATGTTTTCATATAGCAACCTAAACTTCTAATACAATAGGCACTGAGTATCTAATTCAGGGAACGCACAGCCATTATTAAATCCTCAACTGCTTGTAAAACACAGGGTATATCTTAAAAATATTGGGAGAACTTGACTGTTGACTAACACTACCTAATTCTTTAAAACAAGACCAGGTGCCCAGATCTAGTATTTCTATTCTGTAAAATAGTTTCTATTCAAGTCTATCTTTTATTTTATCTATAACTTTCCCAAATAGATGAAAAAGCAAGGACAAGACTAGAGAACGTAATTTCCTCTCCCAGGTCACAATGATGATATTAGGATGATGGTGGCTTCCACCATAAACCTGAGAGAATAAAGAGTGTTTACGCAGGTACAATACCAAGTGCTTTGCACTCCAGCTTATTTAACTCTTACAACTCCCTCAAATAGGCATTATTATCATTCTCGAATTACAGATGCGAAAACTGAAGCCTAGAGAGAGAAGCACCCATGTTACGAAGCTTTGAAGAATGAAGCTGGGGCTGGAACCCAACAGTGTGAGGCCATAACTGTGCTTTTCATCACTACAACTTAACTGCAAGACACTAAGTTAGATTCCAGCTAGGAACCAAGACTGAGTAAATTCCATTTCTGACATTCTTACATCGGTGTGTGTACGTTTCCAAATGTTAAACTACTCACGGCTGACACATGAAAATTTAGGAGCTTGGTATTTCAGAGTCTGCAGAAAAGCATTTTATAAAGTGATTTACCAAGCATAATGAGAAGGGAATGCTGTAACTTTTATCCTTTCTTATTACTTGTGAGCAGTGACTCTACCGTGTAGAGCTGGGACTGCAGATCTCAGGAGCCAGCAGGGTCCTCTCTTACAACGGAGGTAATTAAACCAGAAGCCGCAGCTACCAAGTCTCCAGACACACACTGGGGAACTTAACCTTATGTTTGCATATGTGGGTTACCTTGATATTTTTTTTAAAAATCCTAGTTAAAAAGAAGTATCTATTCAAAGAATTCGACACAGAGCTAATATTCATTTGCTTAGAACTCTAAAAAGCAGAATTTTCCTGATAATCAAATTAGTACTATAAAACTTAAAAGTGTCTTCTCAGTTATTTGAAAAGGTATATCCATACACAGATACAAGTCTTTCTGATGACCACTGAGTTCCAACAAAAGACCACTGAATTCTAACAAATACTAAGTTATGTTATAAAATTAATTATTAAGAGTTGCCTGGTAATTCAGATAGGAAAATTTTTTTTTCAAAGAGACTTTGCCATTTACCACATTTCTGCTCACATAAAGAACTATCCAAGCATGAGGTCTGTTTCACTTAAGTTTGGTATTTTACTTCATTTACATGCTAATATTACTTGTTGACAGTACATATCCCAAAATGCCAAGTGTGGCATTAGCTCTTTCTCTTCTATTCTACAGTATCTTAACCAAAATTTAATTTTTAAAAAAACAAAAATTTACCTTTTTAACACCAATCTGGACAGCTCTCTCTATTACATCTTGTAAGTCATCTGTAAAAAGCAAACCCATTAAGAAAACTTGTTAAAAAAAATTTCACTTATCCCTTCTTGCAAGAAAAATACATAGAAACAATTATATTTACCAAATCAATAGTTTGATGAGTACTTATAATAACCAGCAATAACCCGAGGGGGAAAAAAAAAGAAACCCATATGAGGCAAACTAGATGACTAGTTATCCATTTAATTATATTTTATTCTGTTGACCAAAAGGGAGAAAAGTGACAAAAATCAGGGGGTTCCAACGAAAGGTGAATTTGCTCACTACAATTTAAATTACTTGACTTAAGTTTGAAACTTGTTGGTACTGTATTTTTTTAAATAAAAATGAAACAATCATTAAAATTGTTATTTTTACTAGGGCTTTTCAAAATATATCTGTAACGCCTCCCAAAACATGATAAAACATCTCTTTGTAAATTGCAGTCAATGCTGTATTTCTATAATTCCCATTCCCACTGGGGAAGGATAATTTTTATTTTCTCTGACAGTTTTTTGCTTTTTCCCCAAAGTTTCTTGTTAAGTAACAGGCTTTTCTGGGGAGATCAATAGAAAGCTAAGCTTTAAGAGGCCTGAGGTAAATGGACAGCAAAATCCAACAATTCTATCATAAAAACCCACTTATTAATTTCATATTTAATTATCACAGGAAATTTAGTTAGAATTCAATTATTTCTAGAGTAGCTATAAAATTTTAGACAAAAACTATCAATTTAGTGAACTTCTACTAAGCCAACTAGTTTTGCTAAATATTGTAAACCAGAGTGCTACTGATACTGATGATAATAAAACTTATTTCACAAACACACACGTTAAGAGTCACAAAGCATGAAATCTATGAAGTGCTACAACGGCAAGAAAATCAGAATACAATTTATTCAATCATCTGTAGTACCTAACATCTTATAAAACATAAAAACATTATCGAAACTTCTAAATGCAGAAGAAAAGGTAAGTTTTGAGGTAAGGCTTATGAAAGCTAACATTTAACTTTCTTCTTTCAAGTGGCATCTGACATTCCCAATATTTAGAGAAGCTTTCACTTAGTATCACCTAGAAGCACAAGTGAAACTGGCTCTGACTTAATTGTTGAAAGAAATGTGTAATTCCTCTTCACCCAGACCACAAACCAAAATTTTCCTGTTTGCATTTACATAACAAGGACAGTAATTTTCTAAGGCAATATTCATAAGCCAGTTTATTGGAGAAATTCTTTCAAAAACGTGTTGTCACCATCATTTCCTGCTTCCTCAACTCAGATGACAAAATACACGAATGATCTTGATATGATAAATAGAAGCCATTTTGCTTTTGGCTAAGCTTTCCATCAATCTTTGAGAAACTACTGTGTATTCCCACCTACACCGCAGGGATCTGGGCTCTAGCAGGACTTGGAAGAAAGGGGGTAAGGCAAGACAGGGAAGCTGGAGAGCAGGGCACCCACTCCTTAACCACATTACCACTTTGTCACTCAGCTGAAAACATTTCCAAAAGACTAGGTATTACAGTGATGTTCAACTGCATGTGATTTTGATGTTCAACTGCATGTGATTTTTAATTATGTGCCGTCATGTTCAATTGCTTAAAAGACTAATTAAACATCAACCATTGTTTGGCTTTTATGCGTATGGCTTTTACACATTTCTGTATTCGAAATTATAAACTTCCTCAGATAAGGAGGCTTTGGTAACACTGTTATTACAGGTGCTTTATAAATGCTCATGGCTGGGATTTACCCATGTAGCTTATGTACATTTCACTTGGTTTACAGTTTTATTTTTTTAAGATTTTATTTATTTGTTTGAGAGAGAGAATGAGAGAAAGAGAGCACGAGAGGGAAGAGGGTCAGAGGGAGAAGCAGACTCCCCGCTGAGCAGGGAGCCCGATGCGGGACTCGATCCCGCGACTCCAGGATCATGACCTGAGCCGAAGGCAGTCGCTTAACCAACTGAGCCACCCAGGCGCCCTACAGTTTTAAACTATATGCATCCAAGATGCATAATAAATCCTTTTAATATTTCAATTGTAAAGTGATTATGCTTCTCATGATCTCCTTGAGGCAGAAAACTTGTCTTCATAGAGAAACTATTTATCTTAATAAAAGAAACATTTACCTTGATGCTTCTGAACTCCCCTATAAATTCCTCTGAACATAGGATCTGTCAAGTTGATACCAATATCTGTGGAAAGCAAAAATAAGTATTAAGAGCTATTTTAAATTTCTATGTTAAATAAAAGTTCCTGTTATGAAATTTTTCATTCAGACAAAATCTAAGTGCCTACCACTTGTCAGTTACTGAGCTAGACACCTGGGACACAAAGAGGAGTAAGACAGAATTCTAGCTTGCAAGAAACTCACCGCAGAATTGGAAAGGCAGACCCATTAACAGTTAAGAAATAATTCTAAGTAGACACTGGCACTGTGGGACACAGATGAGAAACACCCAACCTAGTCTGGTAGATGGCCCAGAAGTTTCCAGAAAGAATGGATCCCTGAACTGAATCTTAAAGGGTAAGTTAGAGTTACCCAGAGGACGAGGGGAAATTGCAGACAGAGGAAGCGGGAGCAGTGCGTCTGGGGTGTGGAATAGCAGTGACTGTGGCGATCTATAGGCTGTTCGGCTGCTGGAGAGAAATGTAGGGAAGGGAGTGGCCAGAAAAGTCCAGACTCAGCTATGTTACAGACATTGGTCTTTGAAACACCAGATGCAACCAGAAGCACAGATGGCTTTTAAGCAGAGGTGTTGAGGTTTTGTCTTCTGGACATCTCATTCTGGCGTCTTTGCAGAAGGTAGGATTTGAAGGGGGGGCAAATGGAGTCCACAGATTTCATTTGGAAACAGGCAAGAGCTCATATTTACAATGAGGAGAACCTGAATTGGGGTAATGTAAGGAGAGATGCAGAGAGCAGAATGAATTTCTTTATTCACCAAATACCCTGAAGACCAAGCCTGTGTCCTTACTATGTAAGGAGTTAGGGGATACAGAAGGGAATAAGACCCAACACTTGGTCCCTGCCCTCCAGGAATTCATGGTCTCTATGGGAACTACAAATATACTTGGTGATATGTTAGACTAAGCAACACAAGGCAAGAATGTTTTTCTTTATTGCTATATTCCTAAAACCTAACATAATGGTTGCCCCGTAGTAGGAGCTCTATACATGCTACGTCTATAATTATTATGTGCTTGGGAGCACAAAGAAGGGGCATTAACAGTTTTGGCAAACGTGACAAGAAAAGCCTCCCAGCAGAGCTGGATCTTGAACAAAGCTAAAGCTTACAAGATGACAAACGGAAAGGGCGTTCTACAACTATGGATGCGTGCGGGCACCAACTCTATCTAGAAGACGAGAAGAAATTCATTGTGCCTACAGAGCAGTGGTCCTCAATGGAGAGCAATTCTGCAGCCCCTCTCTCCTCCTAACCTCCCTCCTTGGACAGCATTTAGCAATGTCCATGTTCATTTCTAGTTGGCACAACTGAGGAGAGAGTTACTGGCATCCAGGCTTGAGGCCATGGATGCTGCTAAATACTTTATAACGAACAGGATAACTTCCCACAAGAAGGGATTATCTGACTCCCAACATCAAGGGCCATTTCTTGATAAGTCCTGCTGCAGGGTACAAGGAGAATAACAGGATGTGAAGTCAGACCGTACTGGCCCCGGGCAATAATAATACCTTCCTTATGGGGCACCTGGGAGGCTCAGCCAGTTGGGCGTCTGCCATCGGCTCTGGTCGAGATCCCGGGGTCCTGGGATAGAGCCCCACATTGGGCTTCCTGCTCAGCAGGGAGTCTGCTTCTCCTGCTCCCTCCGCCTCTCCCCCGACTTGTGCTCTTGCTCGCTCGCTCTCAAATAAAATCTTTTTAAAAAATAATACCTTCCTTATTTAAAATACACACTCTTTAGCGTTTAGCACCAGGAGTTCATGCTCCAAGTTCATGATGGTTGGGGGCACGTGCCTTCCTACAGACCCTTACATTACTTCTGCTTACTTTCAGCTTCCTCTTGGTAATGTTTTCACCTTGATTTCTGGCCCTCAGTAAGCTGTGCTGCTTCCACATGAAGACAGACTTGAGGTGATGGATGGGAGTTTGGATGATCTAATAAGGGATGGTGGAGAGAGTAGTCCAGACATTTGGAAAAAGCAAAAGAAGGGCACAATGCAGAAAACTTGAAAGATATTTCAGCAACAGTATATATGTCAATAGAGGGCAGGAGATGAATTCACACCGGTACCCTTTAAAGGATTATTAACACACAAACACTGACCACAGTAAATACAATATAGGCGTTCAATGGAATGGCCCAAATCACAAGAATTCAGCATTTTTTTTTTCAGTCAAGGAAAGGAAACTAGATAGGGCAGGGGGCAGACTGAGAAAGGGAGCCCAGGGAAGAGAGGAGAGGCTTTTCTGCCTCGAAGAATCCTTCACAGAGCTCCATCTACAATCACCCACCATGGACGATGGTTAGGAGCACAGACTTGGTCTGTATGTCTTCTACTCATTTCCCCTTTGTGCAGCAAAGAGATTAGTATTTTTCCAAAGCCATCTTTTTACTAGAAAACAGTGAAAAAGGAAACAAAAGCAAATTTAGCAAGTAAAATTTATGTTACTTTAAAAGCAACGGAGGGGTGCCTGGGTGGCTCAGTCAGTTAAGCATCCAACTTCTTTTAAGATTTGATTCATATATTTAAGAGAGAGAGCAAGCGAACGTGCATGAGTGGGAGGAGGGGCAGAGGGAGAGGGAGAAGCAGACTCCCGCTGAGCAGGGAGCCCGACTTGGGCCTCAATCTTAGGACCCCGAGAGCATGACCTGAGCTGAAGGCTGACGCTTAACCGACTGAGCCACCCAGGTACCCCAGGTGTCCAACTTTTGATTTTGGTTCAGGTCGTGGTCTCAGGGGCCTGAGATCAGGCCCGCATCAGGCTCCACACTCATTACGGAGTCTGCTTGTCCCTGTCCCTCTCCCTCCCTGCTGCCCAGCCCCGGCTTGCACTCACTCTCTAAAACAAATAAAATAAAATCTTTAAAAAATAATAATTTTAAAAAGACAAATTGAAGATTAACTTGGGGGCTCAGTTTCTGAAGCCTTCCCATGTCCTTGTCTCAACCCTCACTGGACTGGATGCTGAATCGTTTTTCAGCACTTTATGCTGAGGCAGATATGGTTGAAGCCAATTCAAGGTGATACACTACCTCTTAGAACCCACTTCTAGATGTGGGTCAGTCCTTCAGGCCCTAAGTCACAGTGTAGTTCAAAAACCTATATTCAGCTTTGGACCCAGGTGAGCCTTGGGCTTTAGGATATCCTACCCTGGCTCAGCCACCAATTTCTTCCCTCTGCTGCAAGAAATCTCTCCTGACTTACTTAATATTTCAATTGTAAAGTGATGAGAGAAAGAGAGCACGAGAGGGAAGAGGGTCAGAGGGAGAAGCAGACTCCCCGCTGAGCAGGGAGCCCGATGCGGGCTGACTTACAGCCCTTGGCCATTTTCTTTCTGACAAATGGTTTGCTTGAAGTGTATTCCTTAGCCAGTTATTAGAGCTGTTTTCTACCTTGAATGGAATGCTTTCCGTTAGTCAGGTCTGGTAAAGGGGGTCAGAACATACCACCCCAAAATATGCCACTTTGGCATCTCAGTTATTTTGAGCTGAATGCACTGGAGAAAAGAGCAGATGTAGGCAAGGCTCTCTGGTCTCCCCACTTTGTAATGAAAAGGAGGTCATAAAATTCCCATGAGGGAGAGCCCCTCCCTATATCAAGAACAGAAGAATATGGTTATCACTGTAATACTGTTATCACCAGCCTGGGAGTCAAAGTCAAAATGAATGTGTACAAACAGACCCAAATAACCCTCATCATCTCCCATTAGTTTCCCCATACATTTCCTCGTCATGGTCCCACAACTCAAGACAGTTTAAGCCCTTTTATCACATTGCCATTTATGCTTTTGGGCCTAATAGCTTCTTTGGGGCTTCATTTTCCTTCTGAAGACTCCCAGATACACAAAAAAATGTCCATGCTTTTCTCCTGTTAATGTCTTATGTCAGTTTAATTCTTCCACCAGCCACAGAACCTAACAGGGTAGGAGGAATCTTTTCCTCCTCTATAGAGGCAAATACGTTCTTTTTCTGGATGCTGAGTCACTTACGTTTCTCCTCCCCTATACTGGCTGGCCTCTGGGCCTCCCACTCCCCATCTACCTACCCACCAGCAAACACCTGCAGGGTGGTTAAGATAATCAAGAGGTCAGTATATGGAGGGGGTCAAAGAAAAGTTGAACACGATCACCAAAAAGTGTAAATTTGTGAGCAAGTTCCAAGAAATCCAATGAAATGGAGGAACTGCAGTTATGGAAAAAGAATGGGTTTAGGAGTCAGAATTCCTGGCATTATGACGAATAAACAATGATGTTGGGCAAATCACTGGGCCTTCTGGGCCTGTTTCCCCACTAATAGGGCACAACATTTCTCCTTCCCGGATGAAATGTGGCTCAAACTGGAAAATGAATGTGAAAGCACTTTGCAAATTAAAAGCCTTATAAAATCTACTTACTATTATTACTGAGCACAGTATACGTTCTGTAACATGCCAGTAACACATGGAATTTTAGTCAACATTAGCTACCCTGCCATACCACCTTCAGTGGTTAACTCTCTCAATTCATTATTCAGTAGCCAAAGTGAGTCCATCTTTTTATACCTAACTCATGATGCAACTACGAAAATAAAGCCACTCAAAATCCTACTCATTTAAATTGTTCAGAATGTCCTAATTTAGTATAAGGGATACTATCTTTTCAATTAAAAAGTTCCTATCACAGGGGCACCTGGGTGGCTCAGTCAGGTAAGCATCTGACTCTTGGTTTTGGCTCAGGTCATGATCTCAGGGTGGTGAGACTGAGCTTGTCAGGTTCTGTGCTCAGTGCAAAGTCGGCTTAAGATTCTCTCTTTCCCTCTCTCTCCCCCTCTGCCCCTCTGCCAACTCAAGAGGGCTCGCTCAAATAAAATTTTTTTATATTTTTTAAATTTTATTTTATTATGTTGTGTTCATCATCATACATCACTAGTTTTTGATGTAGTGTTCAAATAAAATCTTAAAAAAAAGTTCCTATCACAAGGATGTGTTGTCAACAAACTCAAAAAAAGTAAATAGTATAGGAGAATCAATTTCTAGCTTGAAAGAGCTTGAAAAACTAAGACAGATGGGATGAGAGCATGATAGGAAAAAGGTAGGAAATGACTACTTCTGATGGGGGAAATGGAGGGAGTCATACATTTAGTGGCACGTCATCATCTTGTAAGGATCAGTGATGTTTCTTTTCCATTTTTTTTAACTGGCTGGCTTTAAAAGCAGTTAACTGCTTTACTGTTAAAAACTACTTCTGGTATTAATGAGATTTCTCAAAACAAGAGTGGAAAACTGCTTGCAACCAAAACAAAACCACATCTCCAAACTGATGCCTCACTGGGCTCAGTGAAACACGTCCTATCACTGTCACCTATGATCTAGGGATACAAATGGACAGTAAACAGGGCGTTTAAAATTGCTTCGGATTTGCTTAGCCTTCAGATAGAACTTCAACTTCAACTTTACAGGAAATACAGGAAATTAGAGGAAAAGCTAAACACCAGCACACAGCAATCAGACAAATTCAAAAGACTTCTGTGGGGCCACCAGCCAAGTGCTTCTCCGAGACAATGCCACGAGGAAAGAAATGTGCTAGATCAAGGGGTTGGCAAGCTGTTGCTGGCAGACCAACCCCTATCTTTCTTTGCCCCTGAGCTAAAAATGGTTTTACATTTTTAAATAGCTGGGGGGGGGGGGAATCAAAACAATAATAGGATTTTGTGAAACCTAAAAATTATAAGAAACTCAAGTTTCGGTGTCCAAAAAGTTTTACTGGAACACAGCCACACCCATCTGTTTATATAGTGTCTATGCCTGCTTTTGAGTGACAAGATCAGAGTATTTGCGGTAGTGATCATATGGTCCACAAAATAAAAAATACATACTATATGGCCCTTAAGGGAAAAGTTGGCCAACCTCTGTACTAGATACAAAACTTAAGGGCATCCAAATATGTGGCTCTGAATTGGATACTGTTTTGGACACGACCACCTTATAAAAGAGGCTCCAGAGAGGCCCCTTGCCCGTTCCATCACATGAGGACACAATGAGAAGGCAGCAGCTAGAAACCAGGAAGGGGGTACTCACCAGAACGCAAACATGCTAGTGCCCTGACCATGGACTTCCCAGCCTCCAGACTGCGAGAAATACATTTCTTATTTATAAGTCACTCCATCTGCAATATTCTCTTCTAACAGCCCAAATGGACTAAGGCAATCTATAACATCAGCTTCTCTCTCAAGGTGTACTTACCAAGTAGGTGGATTTTACCTCCCAGTCTATCAAACCCGTGCACTTCTTTCCGCCTCCCCCCTACCATAAGACTCCAGTCGGCCAACTCTGGCCCAAACGCCACTTAGACTCCCCTTCTGTTCTGCTATCCACCCGACCCATGGTTTCTTTCATTCATAAATCAGATCGTGACACTCTTAACTGGACTTCTCACTATTAGGATGAGAATCAAGGTCCTAACAGGGTAGGACCTTGGCTCTGCTAATCTCTTTAGCTCATTCTGTACCATCCTCCCACCCTCTCAGCCCCTTCCCCATTTCTCTCTGTTCCAGACCCACTGGTCATTTTTTCAGTTCCTCAAAAGGACCATGTATCCTCTTGCCACAGGATGTTTGCACAGGCTGTTCTGTTTGGAACCCTCTGCCTTTCTTGGCCTACTGAACTCAATTTTTCAGAGCTCAGTCCAAGTGTCACTTCCTCAAGGAAACCTTTTCTGACCTGCCAGACTGTTTTGTTCCTCACAAATACCCAGAGGACCATGCTCCCTTTCTTCAGTGCCCTCATCTCTGTAACTGTGGTAAAGCCTTTAGTGCATTCATGCGGCGGTCTCCACCACGAGATGTGACCTAGTTTCTGACCACCACTGCTTCCTAGCATTTAGCACACGGGATGGCACACAGTAGAGACTCAGTAAATACTTTCACAGTAAATACTTTAAAGTGAACGAATGACTGGGTTGCTTAAGGGAATCGAAGACATAGGAAATACGATCCAATCCCTAGAGAAATGGAATTTATACAAAAAAGGTGGCCAAAAGCCCCAACTGGCTTGCTTCTAGGGCCACAGGGCAGGATCAGAATCCCGTTGAAAAAAGACAACTACAGATTAATCCTAGGTACCGAGAAGCTGGATAGCCCGAAGGGATAGTTATGCTACTAAATACTGTCAGCTGCTCTCTCATTGGCTCATGGAGGGGGGCGGGGACTGCTAAACTAGGAATCATCTAAAGCCGCGCTTCTCAAACTAGGGGTGTTCCGGGACACCTGGTGGCCCAGTCAGTTAAGCTTCCAGCTCTTGGTTTGGGTTCAGGTCATGATCTCAGGGTCCTGGGATCGAGCCCCACTTGGGGCTCCGCACTCAGCAGGGAGTCTGCTTGAGGATTCTCTCTCCCTCTCCGTTTGCCCCTCCCCCTACTTGAGCACGCATACTCTCGGGCTCTAAAATAAATCAATCCTCTAAAAAACAAACAAAATTATGGGTGTTCCACAGAGTATGTAACACTTCGAGATTTCATGGAGTTTCAGTTTTACTTCGGAAGACTTAGGGGATAAAGTATCTTAATTTAAAAAGGGCACTATATTATTTCAAAGATGAACACAAAACATCCGAAGAAATGTAAATGCATCAAGAGTTAGTTACCCATCACTGCCGCCACCCCACCACCCCTGGAATATGCTTCCTTCTACGCATAAATCTATTAAACAACTAGGGAAGGACAGACTTAAAAAGTTTAACACCGGCTATCTCAAGAGAGTAGGAAAAAAAATGTATTCAAAATAAACGCACCTTCAAGAAGTCTTTCCGAACTCATCTTACCAAAAGGTTCAAATTCCTTTATCACTTTTCTTATCACCATGGTACTAAAACTACGTATATTGTTTTACCCATTCATTCATACTTCCACTGACCATCACTGTACTAAGTCCCTGGGAAACAAACACTACGGAGTATTTGCCTTAAGAGTGTGTGGTCTAGTGGGAAAGACACATAAATATTTAATTATAAAATGAGTCAAAGGGTACAGTTAGGAAGTCTGCTCTTGCAAGTAAAAATCAACCAAGCAAGAAGGTAGTCAGTGAGATATCAGGGGCAAAAGTGACATTACGGTCCCGAACTGCCACTCTAAAACCTTGTCCAAGGCAAGAAACAGCATGTCCAAGTGTTTGTCAAAGATAAAAAGGATGAGGCTGGAACAGAGGGCAGGACCAGAACACGGATCGGTTTTGTATGCTGTGTCAAGGTACTTCAGCTATCCTGGGACAGTAACTGAAGGATTGGAAGCAGAAGAAAACTGTAGTTGATTTTTACACAGACCACACTGAAGGCTGTATGTATGATGCATTTAAGGAGACATGACTGGAGGCAGGGATTTCGTTTTATATCACAAATAATAAGCTGTCTTTTCCTTGGGGAATCTCTCATGGCCCTTAGCCCATCTCCCCCACTAATTATATCACAGATTGGAGAAGAGAAGCAGATAGACACCACACCTACAACTACTGAGGACTACACCCCAACCCCAACCCCTGGCTCTCCCACAGCATTTTTAAACTTCTTTTGTGGCACTGAAAACATTCTCCCCTGCACTTGCTTTGTACATCTCTCTCTAGTCTGAAAAATAACTGCACCACTCGTATCTTTCATAGTTCCAAAAAGTTAGCACAAAGTCTGTGGAAAAAATATCGCTTAAAATAACTCTCAGATCTAAGACTACATTTCCAATTGCCCAGCAAATGTTTCCAGCTGGATGTCCTGTAAGACTCTCAAACTTAACCTAATCCACATGGATCTCGCTACGTCTCCTACCCACTGCCAAACTGATCATCCTTCCATTTCATATTTAGGTATTTATCCCAACTCTGAGTCATCTATCTGACTGTTCACGCTCCCTTACTTCCATAAACACAGCTGCCAAATGCTGCATATGTACATCTCTTCTCTCTCTCCCTTTTCCACTTCCCTAGTTCAAGCTCGGAAATGTTTCCCCATCTCTCCCCCTCCCCCCACAGAACCTACAGTAACTATCAGGACCGCCTTATTAAAGCAGAGATGTGGTGGTCATTGCCCTTTCCCACCTTCAAGTAGCTGGAAACGCCACAAAGACAAGAATCACACTGTTGTAACACACAGCCCCAGGTTCCTGGTACATAACTGGCACTGCATGATTTACTTGATGAAGAAAGGCTGAAAGCCTTCAGCGAAGCTCCACTCTACACACAGTAAAAGTAAACTCAGCCAGACCTTTGAGTCCCAAGTTACCCTTCCAATCCTAGCTCTCCAGCTTTTCCCATGTGCCTGGTAGTAAATACTCTTATCCCTTTGGTTCCTGTCGCATCTTACCCCCTCTTGTTCTACTGATGGTGAACAGATTATTGTTCTTGCCAAGTAAAAGAACTTGTTTTTCTCCCCACTATTTGTGTCCTCCAGTTCCTGCACCAGATGGTGATGCCAGCAGATCAGGGGCCGGGTCTTTGCGCCCTGTGTTCCTAGCCGGTGCCTGGCCCCCCAGGAGCGCTCAATAACTGTGCTATGAACGCACGAATTAGTGAGTCAACGGGTCCGACACCGAGAGGGGAAGGGGCGGGAGGTGCACATGGGATGGAGGGGAATATGGTGAGTGGCCTCTTTTTTTGGCCTACTTTTGCTTCCTTTTTTTCTTTTTGCTGAATACGACACATACGCTGAAAAGAGCATACATCATTGTACAGCTCGTTAATTTTCACAGATGTGTGATACCAGCACCCAGGCGGAGAAGCAGAGTATTAACGGCACCCAGAAGCCTCCCCGCGCCCTCTTCCACTGAGTGCCCTCTCGACCTTCAGAAAGCCAGAGAGCTCAAGTCCTGGGCCCCTGGCTGCGGTAAGCGACGCCCGTGGGTGGTCCGAAAAGCCCAAGAACCGAGAAGACGCTTACCCACGAACTTGAAGCGACTCATGTTAGCAGCACGGTGTCCTCCCCGGCGGAAGCGGAAGTAGTCGCCGTCGCCCCGCCCTTCCGGCTGCCCCGCCCCTAGGCCCAGCCTCCGGCTTCCCGGGAACCCCCGCGGCCGCTGGAGGAAGCGGGTCGTCATGGCGTTCTGCGGGCCGGGTGCCTACCTGACCCACCAGCAGAAGGTGTTGCGGCTTTATAAGCGGGCGCTGCGCCACCTGGAGTCGTATTGCGTCCACAGGTGGGAGAGGGAGAGCTGGGGCTCGAGGAGGTGACCCCGGGGATCCTCACAGAGGCTGAGTGGCCTTGAGGGACCGAGCGGCTCAAGGACATGGGGGACGAAGTGGGAAGGTGGCCATAGACCCGGGTTCAAATCCACGCTTCGTCGCTTCTAGCTGCGAGACCTTGAAGAGTTGCTTATCTGGCCCAGGCCTCAGTTTTCTGTTCAGGAAGAGCGACGCAGGACCAGCGCAGAGGGTTGCCTGACGATTAAATGAAATAAAGGAAAGTGCCTAAAACTCTAGTTGTGCGTGCAGCGCTCACTGTATAAGAGCTTTCTTCTAGACCTTCTTGTTGCTAATATTAGCAGCAGGAATATGTGCATTGTTTTCTGTAGTCCCCATAACAACTCCAGGAGTTAGGGATTATTTAGCCTTAATTTACAAGTAAGAAAATGGGCATGGAGAGTAACTTGCCAAGGTCCTAGAGCTGGTGAGTGGCCGGGCCAGGATTAAAACTCCGGTGCTAACCCCAGAGCATCACCAGTCTCCCACTTCTCCAGTCAACTTTCCTCTTTTTAGCTTCAGCCCTTTCCACTATTTTCACATCCACATAATTCTTTACCAGCCACGTCGTTCTCTTCTCTCCATCTGAGAGTAGTCTTAGGACAGAGTCTTAAAACACATAGATTTTCGTTACCTGAAGGCAGTGCATGTGTGTGGATCCTGGGCCTCCGCTGCCTCATAGGAGTCCGAAAGCCTAGTCCCAGGAGCAGGGCTTCTGGGGGAAACCTCTAAACGATGGGAAACTAAGTAGGTCTGGAAAAGTTGTGGAGGATATCCTTAAAGCCCACATTGCGTATTTGTGATTCTTGGAAAGTCATTGACCTACTTCTCTTTGCTAGACAGAAAGATGGCCAGGTTCATTGTAACGTTGTTAGTTTCTTCCCTGATTTTTCCTCATTCGGTCATCTGTCAAAATTTGCAACTCAGGTTCTATGCTGGCTACTGAATAAAAAAAACCAGTAAGTCCTCTTTCTCAGCTATAGGAGCTCACGGATTAATGGGGAAGATGGACATGTAAACAAATAGATAAGAGAATGACCAATCTTATAAAGATGAAGGAAGCTGAGCTGTCAAGAATTCAGATAACACTGAACTGCATCTGGGAATATTAAAATCCATAGTCCTGGAGGAGAAGTTGAAAGCAACTCGTATGATAACACTGACTCAGTGGTTTTTAAGTCTCACTGACGTCCTCTCCCAGGACTTTTCTTCATCCATTTGTTCCTCGTGCTATCCTCCATGGTTCCGTCCCAGGTCCTTGGTGGTGGTGTATATGCTTTGGACAGCCTCATCTAATGCTGGGACTTGAGTTACCACCTAGGCTCACTTGTCTCTAGAGCTGTTTTCCATTTATTTGTTAGATAACCTACAGTTCTCTGAAACTCAGCTTGTCTTAATGCCTTAAAACCAAAGTCTTTACCTCATTTTGATTTTCTTCCTTAATTCCCTGTCTCAGCTAATGGCATTGATTAGTAATTCAGTCACTCAGCTTTAAGTCTTAGAGTCGTTCTTAAGTACTCCGTACTCATTCCGATGCCAGTGACACATGTGCTTGTGTGCAGTGTGTATTTGGACACTGATATTTGTAAATTCTCTCCACAGTGTAATAATATTGTAACTGACATTGAGCAGAGGAGGTGCCAGGCATCTGCCTGAAGTGTGTTGATATGTTTTTAACTCCTCAAATCTTTAGGATACTTTGGAAGATCTAGATACTGTTACTAACACTTTTGTAGAGGAACCCGTGGCCTAAAGACATTAATTGACCCAGATTACACAGCTAGTAAACTAAGATTTAGTCTGAAACGATCTGATTTTAGCAGACACTCTCAATTCTGTAATGTAAACGTTTCTCTCCTGTCTCCTACCATCACAGGTGCCTGCTTCAGGCCCCTCTCATCTGTGGCTTGGATTATTGTCGAAGCCAAATGATCTCTGCCTTCCGTTTCTTCTAGAACCTGACCTGAACTTGCCTACAGTCGTGCAGTTAGTGTCAGAATTAGGATTCAAACCCAGATCTGTGTGATTCAAGCAATACTGTTTCCACTGAGTAACACCTCCCTTCCCACTCACCTTTGTATCTCCAGAATTTAGCACAGTGCCTAGCACAAGGTAGGAGGAATCTCAGTAAGTTGTCATTCAATGAGTGTTGAATGATCTGACAGAGGCTCTAGTTTTTCTCTCTTGCAAATTATCTTTTTGTGTGTGTGTTTGAATCAGCATTCCTTTTTTGGAAGAGAGAGGGAGGAAAGTGGTTAGGTTGTGTTTAATACAGTATTTTTTTTTTTTGCTGCTGCCGCCGTGTGGGGGACTGCTGAGGAGGCAGTCATATTGATGTGGCTGCTTCATTGGCAGGGTCTGGGGTGCTTCCAGGTAGTTGCGCTACACATTCAGAGGACGTCAGTAGAAGTCCAGCCTCTTGTCAGACAGTAATCCTGCTCAGCTGAGTGGATAACGTTTCTAATCTCCAAAACGATTTTGGTTAAAGGGACAAATACCGGTACTTTGCTTGTTTGATGAGAGCTCGGTTTGAAGAACATAAGAATGAGAAGGACATGGTGAAGGCCACCCAACTGCTGAGGGCGGCGGAGGAAGAATTCTGGCACAATCAGCATCCTCAGCCATACATCTTCCCTGAGTCTCCGGGAGGGACCTCCTATGAGAGATATGAGTGTTACAAGGTAGGTGAGCACTGCAGTGGTGACTGCCTTCGGAGAGGCAGACCTTCTTTCTCCCGTCCCAGACCTCAGCCCCAAATCCGCTTGTCCCGTTAGGGGCAGCTAGGCAAAGTAAATACTTTTCTATTTGCAGGTGTCCCATTTTCCCTGTCCCAGGTGACATTCTTGTTGCTTTGTCTTTCTGAATTCAGCGCCAAGGGCTGGCAGTATCTTTTTGGCAAAGCAGTGTGCTAAATTGCTTGGTATATAACTCATTTTGGGATCTTAAAGTTAACCAGTTCGGATTGGTGCTTAGTATTTTGGAGCAATTACAGGTAACAGTCCCGCGCCGCGTCAAGCTGCTCTGCGTAATTAGAGAATGCAGATCAGGGAGGATCGGTGCCAGCTATCTCCAAACTGACCTTGAGGTTTCTCAGCCCTTGGCTCTGGCTCTGAGCCGTTCTTTGTGTCGGTGTGAGCTCACCTTCCGCTGGTCGTTGTGCAGCGCCTGAAACATCTGATGCTTGCAGTGGTTATAAAAATACACCGTCATTTTTGCCTTCTGCCTCCTGAGCAGGCCCTGCAGGCGGCATGCCTGCACCTCCTGTGGGCTGATGGCAGTGATTTCCCCTCCCGACAGGTGCCCGAGTGGTGCTTAGATGACTGGCATCCCTCCGAGAAGGCGATGTATCCTGATTACTTTGCCAAGAGAGAGCAGTGGAAGAAGCTGCGGATGGAAAGCTGGGAGCGGGAGGTGAGTCTTCCCTGCCTTTCGCTTCACAGCTTGGCCCACATGGTCCGCGCCTGGAAGGGGCTCAGGTTCTGTTCCCCAGGTGCAGAAGTCCAGAGTCCAGTTACGACAGTTACTGCGGCCCCTTGCCTCTCAGATATACTTGCATTTCTGAATGTAAACGTGACCTTGACAGGCTTCTTGCAAACGGGTGACAGGGTGTCGCTGGTCTCTTTGGGTTTTCTGCTCCTTGGTTTTGCTTCTCCCCTCCTTCTCCTCAGTCCTCCGCCTGACCGTCTTCCGTACCCTCCGGTCCCTGAACTTTCCTCTCCGCCAGCGTCTTGGACATTTTTCATTCGTGGGTCTGATTTACATTTTTAAAAGCTCAACTTCACTGTAGTGTGAAGAGTATATTGGAGAGGGCAAGAGGAGAAGTGGAGAGACCAATTTGGGGTGGTTGCAGTTTGGTCAGAAGATTATGGCAGCCAGCACGGGGTGGGGGGCTGCAGTGAAGAGGGAAAGAAATCAATTCAGGGTATCATTTGGCGGGATATGAAGGCTGACTGGCTGTGGGGGAGGCATGAGGGGCAGGGAGGAATCAAGAATGAGATCCACGTTAACACCTGGAGTCTGGTGATGGTTCATGAAGATGAAGAAGAGGGAAAAACAGGCACCACTCTGTTAAACATCTGACTCGCGATTTCTGCTCAGGTCGTGATCTCAGAGTTGTGAGATGGAGCCCCATGTCCGGCTCCACGCTCAGTGCGGAGTCTGCTTCTCTGCCCCTGCCCCTGCATGTTCTCTCTCTCTCTCTCTCTGTCTCTCTCTCAGATAAATAAAAAAAAAAAGAAAGATAAAACAGGTGTCGGGGGACAAGTAAGTGTTTGGTTTTAAATTTGTTAAATTTGAGAATGCTGTGAGACACCCAAGTGAGATGTCAATAGGCGACTTTGGGTGTAGGAACCTGGAACTCAGAGGAGAGATTTGAGCTCGAAACAAATTTGTGAGTTATCCATTGTTTTAAAAGCCGTGGAAATGAAGGAGATCCTTAAGAGAGAGGAGAGAGAGCAGAAAAGTCACAGGCGCTCCCACTTGTGGAGGTGAGGGAAGGAGGCAGCAAAGCACCCCCCAAGGGGAGAGGGGTGACGGCGAGGCCAAGCCACGAGAAAGGGTTTCAGGAACAGCCGGTCAGGGGTGGTCATCTTTGCTGAAAGTTGCTAAAAGGTGGACTAGAGTGAGGACCGGAAATAATGGCCACGGACTGTGGCTGTAGGAAGGGCATCCGTGACCTTGGAGAGCCTCTTCTGGAGGGTAAGAGTGAGCAGAATGTAAGAGACAGAAGACGGGGGGCGGGGAATTCTTGAGAAGTTTCGCTGGAACAGTAACTGGAGGCCAAGGCATTATTTTCTTTTTAAGGTAAGAAATGATGCGTGTGTGCTGAGAGAAGATTCGGGGCGAGGGAGAAATGGACAGTGTTGAAGCAGGGTGGAAGAGGTCAAGGGGGAAGGCTCTGGAGAAGAGCGACGGGATCCCACGCCTGTGCGAGGGCCTCTGAACGGAGAACGGGTTCTTCCTCCACTAGAATTACACGGCCGGTGCACGTACACACGTCCGGGCTAGAAGCTTGGACGATGGGAAAGTGAGAGTTCTAGGTGACAGCTTCTCTGTTTTAGCAAAGAGGGAAAAGGCGTGAAGTGGGCGCAGCCTGTTTTGGAGAATGTGGAGAAGGTGTGGGAGTCACGGCAGAGGATGAGCTCGCTGGGAATAATAATAGGATTGCCAGGTAGTGGTGAAGGCCCATTTGAAGTTGGGAATAATGAGTGTGTTGTGACATCGGTTTGTTGCAGCAGGTTTTTCTTTCTAGCAATAACCAGCTGCCTGGGTGCGGTCTGAGAGGTGGGTGGTGTGGTGTGTCCAGTGGAGGGTGTCAAGAGACTAGAGGTTATTCAAACGGGAGTGATCGTCATGATGGGATGGAAGCGGCTAAAGCAGGCACGGAGTCAGGAGGCTGATGCAGAGAAGGACAAATTGGGTCAGAGAATCTGTGAACTGGCAATTTCTGCGTTTCAAAAAGCATTTTCAAGGGGACATTTAAGCACATGAGCTGGAGAGGGCTTCGGTGGTTAGAGAGTGGGATATTTGAGTCACGATTGTTTTTTTAAGATTTAGAGAGCGCGCACTCGAGCTGGGGGAGGGGCAGAGGGAGAGAATCCTCGAGCAGGCTCCCTGCTCAGGGCAGAGCCCCATGTGGGGCTTGATCCCAGGACCCTGAGATCACGACCTGAGCCAAAACCAAGAGCCAGACACTTCACCGACAGAGCCACCCAGGCGCCCCTGATTCATGACTTCTGTGTTATTTTAGGTTGTATATAATTTGAAAGTTATATGGGTTCTGGTGATAAGGTCCAGGATGTTGACCGCAGAAGTTGTTGGCCCAGGTGGAGTGAAAGGAGGGTCATTGTGACCAAGGAGGGCAGTGCTTGCTAAGAAACGTCTCCTCCTTTGGAAACAGGAGGTGTGTTTGTCCGTGGAGAGCAGCAGGTTTGCTCTTCGGTTGGTGCCGGATGACCCCCTCCTCTCCACGAACCCCTTCCTTCCCTCGTTCGTCTCACTGCCGTCATTAAACAGCACACACGCTGGAGACTCGGGTCACCCACGATCCAGAATTGAGTTTTCTGGAGGAAGCTTTCGAAAACCATTATCTGGGGAGGGGGTCCCTTACGTGTCCTCTTCTCTGGGGACAGTGATAGTCCTGAAGATCACTGGAACCTGCGGCGGGTGGGCGGGATCAGGCAGCACAGAGCACATCTTCACATGGGATTTCATGGGATTTCTTGTCCTGGTTGCTGTTGGGGGGTGGGGAGGCTTTAAAATGAACATCTCTAATACATATGAATTAAGGTTTCCTAATGGTGCTTTTGGAGAGCACTTAGCTGAGACATAAAAATATTTTTTTAGAGGGTACAGGTAGGGGATCATAACAAAGGGAATGGGACTGGGAATGGTCACAGTTTTGCAGTGCGAGTAAGAGATGGGGTGGGAGGGTTTCTCAGCTTTGCTGCTTTAAGAATGGGAAAACCTTTAAGGAGAATTGTTTTTCTGAGTTAAACTGTGGGTGTAAACATAACGCAGGTATATCTAAAAAACCCCGCAGCAGATTTTCCAGTCAGTTCGACCCTAATGGTTCCTCCCTTCCCCCTTTCCAGGTTAAGCAGCTGCAGGAGGAAACCCCAGCTGGTGGTCCCAGCACTGAAGCTCTGCCCCCCGCCCGGAAGGAAGGTGATCTGCCCCCGCTGTGGTGGAACGTTGTGACCAGGCCCCGGGAGCGGCCCATGTAGAGGGAGAGGGAAACACCCCACCAGCCAGTCGCGCTTGCAAGTGAAATAGTTTACAGTACGTAGACACACTTGCCCTAATAAAAGTAACTCAACACGGTATGACTGCTGTGTTCTTCCGAGGGTCTGCACGACGCCAAGCGCCTGTGCCCCCGCCGTCTCTTCCCACTTGCGCGGGGAAGTACGGGAAGCGTGGCCGAGGGTCCTCTGCCCCAGGGAGTCCTGTTGCTAGCACGTGTTATCAGGGAAAACAGCAGAACCAGATACAAGATTTACTCTGAGGATTTTAGTTGAACAAACCCTATTTGAAGGCTCAGTGACTGGGAGGAATATGAAGTCAAGAGAAGGTATGCAAATCCTGAGGACTTGAGAAAACCTCTTTGGTTTTGTAAAGATGCCAGGAATGACATCTTAGTGTGATGAAAAGGTTAACTCTAAGCAGCACCTACTCAACGAATCGGCCTGGAGTTCACGGGCTTCGCTCGAGAGCGGAGCTTTGGGGGCTGGGGTGAAGCTTCCCCGGGACGGTTTTCCAGCTCTGCCTCTCTACCGTAGCTTGGATGGTCTGCGGACTCCCAGGCAGGGGACAGCGGGACTCTTAAGTGTTGGAAGAAGCGTCTTTAAAAGGTAGAGCCATTTTTAAAACCATCAACCAAACCCATTGGCTTTTAGTTGGTGATAACTCAACAGAATTACGTTCAGACAGTTGACGAGTGGAGGCTGCTAGTGTACTTAGGACCCAGGGCCATCCCAGAAGTAATGTTCTCTTCGGTTTCCTAAGTAAGCCCAGTCGGAGTCTCAGTGCATCTCCTAATAGTTGATGGAGACTTGCAACTGAATTTTAATAAGTCTTGACATCCAGGACTTTTTCTAGTGGTTCTTTATTTATAATGTAGGCTGAAGCAATTGTTACAAGGTAGAAGGGAGACACATTACACAGTTGTTATTTATACAAGTTTAGAACAAAAAAACCACAGGGAGAGGTCAACTCTCAGTACAAACTAGCAACTAAACCACAATAATTTACCTTTAGAAACGATTTCTTTATTTTTAGCTGTGACACTGCTTTTACAATATGCAAAAACACAAACAGAACTACCCAAGATGTGTTGTCACATTCTTTCTACATTGAATTTGGCAACATTTTATATTAAATTTATTCAGATTATACTAACGTTTAAAAACTAAACAAGTGAAAAGCTGTACCAAGGTACAGTTACATCCATTTATTTCCAAGGTTTAAAAGACCACTTTTTATCTATCGTAATTACCTTGCAGTGATTTCTGCTTTTGCAAAAACCATCTCAAGCATCATATGCACAATGCATCAGCTACTTTTAGTCATCAAGATTGGTGGGCTAAACCACAGGCACTACTGTTCCTTATATTCTGTAGAAGGAGCTTGTTTTTCAAAGGAAAAAAAGCTTAAATAGTTTCTAATAATCATGCCTTTGCTTTAAAGCCGTAACATAAAATGCCCTTGAGCAATCACAGCAGTGTTAAATGTTAATATATAGAACAGTGACTGTACAGGTACGTTACTCTCACACCCAATGCAGTTAGGTATTAAAGCATAAGGTTATGTAATTGAAGATTAGAGCCAACAGAAACCTGCAGGGTCTGCGGGACCCACCAAGCTCCGGTTTCTTCAAGAGAAACTGACCCGAGTGCTAAGGGGCTTGCTTGGTCTTTTTGAACATGTCTTCTCCAAACAAGATCCCTTTAAATCTACAAATCTCTGTTGGCTTTAGGGAATGGGCATTAGAACAAATTTAACTTTCACTTAAAAAAGAAAAGACATAAATCCATTCCAAAAAACATTACCTAGAATACCAAAAAAAAGGACAGTATAGTGGTCAGATTCCCAGTGACAATAAATCAATCCTCCGCTCTTCAATGTTTGGTATGATGCCAATTAACTGCCACTTATTTAAAAGAAGAGAAGAAAAACAAGCCCCCAGGTCGGTAAACACATTGGCAAGTTGCTAGATTCCAAGCTGGTTACCCTTGTTAAATCCGCTCGAGTTTGTTCAAAAGATTTGGGCTTTTCAACGTGCCCAGCCTGCTGGGCACGGTTAAGTAAAAGGCATTGGCTATATCTAAGAATTCCCTGCTATCATTTTAAAATGTTTTCACATTTTTAAAACTGCCTTACCCTTTTTGGATGTATTTGGATTCAATGAACGTGGGTACGAGAGACGAGTAACTGAAGGGGGGCGGGGGGGGGCGCTCTGGGTGTACCTGGTGGCGGCAGCATGCACGGGACTGGAGGTGGGTGCTGTGTGCAGTCAAGAGGAATCGTGGGACGAAGGAAGTCCTTAAACACCCTACAGAAACAAACACTGCAATCCAGTATGGCTTATTCGGATGCATTTACCATGAAGCTACTAGAAATTCAACCTACGAGGCTACTCTTAAATGTTAACAGGATCGGCTATGTTGACTGTGTGCCCCTCCCACGGCCCTCCCCCCCAATCCCAACAGTCTACCATTTCCGGATTTACTTCACTCTGAATATTGCTCAACTGTTACTCCTGCTTTTCTCAGCCAGAGCATACTACAAGTAAATGAAGATTTTTAACCCTTGATCCATTTTGTTTGTACATTAAAATAACTTGAATTTGCTTCTAAGCCAGACTACTACAATGCATCTACAAAAGCTTGCAGGAAAAAAAGGAGAGAGAAAAGAAAAGGCTAAGTAGAGTTACCCTTTTTTCTGAAATTAACTACTTTGTGTTTCCCCTTGCCCCGACCACCCCCCCACCTATTATGCATTTAAAATTTTACAAAGACTTGTAAAAAAGTTAAATGGAATTTGGCACCTTCAGAAAAATCAAAAGGGAAACTAAGATTAAAATGTGCAGAAAGAAAACGGTCAATATTTACAAATTAAAAGATCAAAGTTATGTCAGTTACATATGTTGCTTTTAATTCTTATCTAAAGGTGTCGAGTACTTTCAAAAGAGCTGTATTCTGAGTTGCCTACAAAATCTTTTGTCTGATTATAGATTGGAATGGATCGAGACAAATTAGGTTTTATGAATTAAACAGTTCCCTCCCCCACTGGCAGCGTTTCTTGGGAGCCTAGCGAGCCTACGAGAAGCGAGGGGCTGAGCGGTCGTTCGTCGTGGTCTTCTTCAGTTTCACGCCCCTTCGGATGGCATTCAGCATGTCTTCCCCTTGCGGAGTATCTCTCGGGCTCAGCTCTGTGGCGTCGCTCTCCGGGATCTGGCCTGGGGAAGCACTGGCACTTGGGGGATCCCTCTCCTGGTCTTCGGCCTCGCTCTCTGGAATCGCCTGTCTGTGCTCCTCGGGGATACCTGGCTTCGGGCCTGGGAGAGGAGGGTTGACGGAGGCTTGGCCGCTCCACATGGAGGAGGGCATGCTGGTGACACCCTGGGGGCCCTCGCCCACAGACGGCGACTCGGGGCTGTGCTCACCCCTCTCCTCTGGCCCGTCCGGGGGCGCGGGCAACACCCCGGGGAGGTCTGGGACGGTTGGGGTCTTGACGGGGATCACGGGGGTCTTGATGGGGATGGGGCCGGCTCCGATGGTCCCCCGGCGGACAGAAGGCTTGGTGGAAGGGGTCCGTCGGATGGTTGCAACCCCCGGGGTGACCATAGCAGGTCCGAGGGTGGTGGGGAGGCCAGCCGTTGAGGCTGGGCGCTTGGCCTGGAACATCCGTCGGTAGGACTGGCTGATGTCGCTGTTTCTCGGGATGGTGGAGGATTTGTCAAACTCCTGCTGATCCGCCTCCTGGTCGCCACTTACAGAGAAATAATCATAATCTGAAACTGATGATAAGATTTGATTAGCACTCTCCGCAGCAGCTCTGCTTTTCGGTTCTTTGGTGCCGGAGGAACAAGACGCCCAAGAGGCCAGGTGCTTTACCCGCCACCTCATCCCCAGCCTCCCCCAATCTCTGCACCATCCTGAGAAGCCCTAGACGGCTGAGCAGTCCCCGCGGGGCGGGTCTTCGTTCGGTTCCCCGCTGTAGGCCTGGGCCCCAGGACGGCAGCGGACGCCGGCAGCGGGCTCGCCGCCTCCCAGCGTCTCCCGGAGGAGTAAGGGGGGCGCGCGGGAAGAGAGGAGGAACGCCACACCGCCGCCGGTCCAGAAGCGGACGCGAGGAGCCAGCCTCAGCCGGACTCTCACCGCCCCCCTCAGTCACGCGTCGGGCAAAGGCAGGAGAGAGATCGGAGCTCCGAGCCCTGAGCCCCCGAAAACGCGCGCAGAGTCGGGCTGCAGCGCGAGGCGTGCGCGCTTCGTCCCGGCAGCCGGGGGCCCGAGGGCGGTGGGGCTCAGGGCGGGTGTCTGTGCCGCCGCAGCACCGGCCGCGGGGCCAGGCGCCGTGCCGGAGGGCTCCACGCACCGCCCGCTGCCCCCTGGACAGCAAAACGGCCCTCCGGAGACCCACGCAGTCCGAGAGGCCTTGAGCGACGGGCCGCAAGTCGGATTGCTCACCGCCCGCCCCATCTCCTCTGGCCCCTGGGCTGCCATCTGGCTGGCGCGCGCGGCGCCGAGGGAGGCAGGGCTCACGGAGGACTGGGCGCGAATGGGTTCCGACCCCGGGGCTTCGGGCTCGGGGAGACCCGACCACCACAGACAGCGCTCCAACGCGCTCCAAGAGGAGGCCGCCGGCGCAGTCACTGCGCTTCCGCGGCCTCCCCGCCCTTCTGCCTCCCCCCAGGAGGGAGGCCGCCCCTTCTCAGCCGGCACTGTTCGGGAAGCCCCGCTGGGAAGCCCGGGCTGCCTCGTACCTTGGGAGGGGATGGTGTCCTCCGAGCAGCACGGGGTGGTGGTCTGGGTGCTGTAGCCGCTGGAGCACTGCAGCGAGTCCCGGCTGCTCCTCTGGGTGTCCAGCTGGAGGCCCCGCGACAGGGCCAGCGCCAGTTCCTCGCACGCCTCCATCTCCTCACCAGGCTGCAGCGGGGAGGCGACACACACACAGACAAGCCACCAGGGCCGTGAGTCCCCTGTCCCATGTCCCCAGAGCCTTTCCGCATACTTCCAAGTGGGAGCCTCAGTGTTACTCCTAACCCGCTCCCGTGAAAATCACCCGTCTGTGGGTCCTACCCAGGCTCTAGAAAGTTCTGAGTCCGATTTCAGTGCCAGGCTCTTCCCTGGGGGCCCTCTAATCACTATAGAACAGGGAGTGGGGGAACGGGGCTCAGGTCCCTCCAGATGCCGGGCTGACTCGGCCCCGGTGCTGGCCAGCACACGGCCACCAGCCAGGTCTAGAGGGGTCCAACCAGCCGTAGAGAATAAAAGCGTCACCCCTGGGGCGCCTGGGTGGCTCAGTCGTTAAGCGTCTGCCTTCGGCTCAGGTCATGACCCCGGGGTCCTGGGATCGAGCCCCGCACCGGGCTCCCCGCTCCGCGGGAAGCCTGCTTCTCCCTCCCCCACTCCCCCTGCTTGTGTTCCCTCTCTCGCTGTCTCTCTGTCAGATAAATAAAATCTTAAAAAAAAAAAAAAAAAAGCGTCACCCTGGTGGCAGCTGACACGGTCATGCTCCGCGGTCTCTGAGCTTCGTCAGCCGCTGCCGGCGCGCCACCTGCGGCGGTGGGCCCTCCTCCACTGGGGTCCGGCTCCCGCTTCTCTTTGCGGCGCTGTAGGGTGTTCACCAGAGGCTGATCGTAAGGTCCTGGCTTGGCCCAGTCCTAAGCAGAAGGCACGCCGTCAAGCGCCCAGGCCTCCGCCGCCATCTGGAAGGCTGTAGAACCCTCCGGACAGCTGCCCACAGAAGGCAGCTGGCCTCTGGGGAAGCTCGGGCTACGACAGGCCAGCAGGCCCTTCTACTGCGTCCTCACCCGGCTCTCAAAGGGACTGGAAAATCCTTTGGCGGGGCGGGCACCCCCCCGCCCCCGGGAACCTCCCCTTTCCTCCCATCTGCCCAATGATGAAAAACCCTCACCAACCAGGCAGGTACCTGTGGGTGACTCTTAGTTAGTAGCCACCTGCAGCTGACCAACTGTCTAAGGTGTCTGAAGGCCCCAGCCAGTGGCGAGCACATGTCCCGGGGACCAGGCCCTCCCTTCGGGTGTCTGAAGGGACCCCCTCTCCTCCAGCCCAAATGGCTTCACTCGAGCCAAGTGGCCACCAGGGGGCACTAACGGGAGTCAGCCACTCCCGCGGAGGCTGAACCTCCGCCTCCAGGAAACTGGGCCCCAAAGGGCACCCGGGATGTGCCCCCCTGAGGCCCTCATGTAGGGAGGGAAGGCCTCTGGGGTCAGCAGATTTTTGAGGAGCACGAGGGGTCCACACTAGTTGTGAGGGATTAAGTCGAGACCTCAAAATGCCACAGTCTGGGGTCACCTACTATTCAAATCAGGGACACCAGCTCTCAGAATAGGATTGGACTTGCTAGGAACTCATTTTAAAACTTTGTTTTTGTATTAAGGCAAACACATTTTGAGAGTAAACAAATGAGACTAAAAAATAAAGTCTGCATTTACTTTTGAGATAAAGCATGGTAAGCCAACCCACAGTTTGCATTATGGTTCTGTCGCCACGGCCCAATAAGGGACTCGAGGGAGAAGTCTGGGGCACGTGGCTGGGGAGGGCAGTGGCTCCCAGCCCCTGTTAACACTGACACCCCGCAGCGGCCCCCAGCAGCGCAGAACTGCACACGGCCGCGTCTGGCGCTACCGGCTACCCGGGCTTAGGGAAGGTGCGTTACGGGGAGCCTCTCCCATCTCAGCTCCACGTGGAAATTTCTCCCTCAGATCTAACTGCTGCTTTTTGGTTCTTCCGGGTGGGAACTTTCCTAGGGAGAGGGGTGCTATGGGGAGGAAGGCAGAGTGTGGAAGGGAGGGGTGAGGGGGGTCAGGATGAGGGATCGTGGGACAGAATGGGGGGAGCACAGAGCCATGAGAGGGGGCGGAGGGAGAGGAGGGGAGGGAGGAGAGACACAAACCTTCCAGCTAGGGATCTGAGATGACGGGAACATGCCGGGCCCAATGGTGTGACAATGAGCGAAGTCTGGAAGGTGGACAGAGGTGACCCGAGGGAGCAGGCGGGAGGCAGGCGGGCAATGAAGGGAAAGGCTTGCCCCCATGGGCCCCACATGGGATTCACTTGGCAAACTACAGTGAGAAAACCCGTTAGACAACTGGAAACAAAACAAAAAAAGGGGGGGGGAGAAAGGAAAATAAAATTAATATAACAGGATGAGTGTGGAGGTACAAGATGGCATTGACATTCAAGGGAGGAGGGGACCGGAGCCTTTATCCATCAAACAAGCGGCGGGGCTCTGCTGCTCGTGGATGATCCGTGGGGCGGAAAGGGCCACGGGGCAGAGTGCACGTGGGACACCAGGTAAGTGCTCGGTCAAGGACACAACTTATCTACATTCTGGAATAGTGTGGAAATTGACCAGTGTCCTTCATTTGTGGCGTTCGCAATGGTTTTTGATCATTTAGCCAACGAAGCAGTTTCACGGTGATCGTGATCTGCTCATCTCATTATGCAAATTTAAACATTGTCAAGCGTCAACTAAATCTGTTCTTTCTAGGTTTCCGAAATCATCACACTGTTCAGGAGCAGATTCCAAATCGGGGTGAAGAGGGAGGAGGGGTCAGCAAACAAAAAGGCAGAAAAGCACACAGCCTCTGATGCAGCGGAAGGTCCCGTCGGGCGGCGTGGCTACGGCGACAAGGGGGCCACAGTGGGGGAGGGGGGCTTGGGAGGGCAGGGGGGAGATGGATGAGCACACGGCACTGTTCTGGGAAGGAGCCTTCCACCTCCGAGTTCCCCATATACCCCTTCCTCTCCCTCAGGACGACGGCAAGGTCATGGCTCAGGAGCCCGGCGCCCATTCAAGAAAAAGCCCTCAGCCTTGTCCCTCTCTCTGTCCCCAAAGGCACTGCTCTGGGTGTGCCTTTGGTCGATTTCAAGTTTCAGGTCCCGGCGGTGACGGCCAGCGGCAGGTGGGCGGGGGGGGGGTTGCCGCAGTGGCCGGGGGCCCAGCCGGTCACCTTCTCTGTGGACGCCCAGGCGCCCATGGTGGAGCCTGAGCTGACCGAGGTGGGCGAGCTGCACTCGCTCACGGACTGGCAGGTTTCGGAGGCTTCGGAGGAGGCCGAGCTGGACGAGTTCTGCCGGCAGGGAGGGACCACGTGCCACCAAAAGTAGCAGGAAACCGAAACAGAAGATGGGGCGGGGGGAGGGCACGCACAGAGAGAGAGAGAGAGAGAGAGAGAGAGAGAGAGAGAGAGAGAGA